TAGTATGCATTTAAGCAACATAATAGTACACTACCTCACCAGCTTTTATCCTGTCTTAAGCTATAGTGTGCTGGGCGCATGTGTGTGCTCAAACACGCTCCCACACACACAAATGTAAGGTCAGGCCAACAAGCCAGAAAAGCTTGTAATGGAGAGTGTTTATGGGTAGTAATGCAACCCAAATACACCACTGCTCCTGCTCCAAATGTGATCATTTAATCAAAGTACAGATGCACAAAGTCTTCTTCAATAACCTTTGGATTTGGCTGTATTTGGGAATTATAAAGGCAAAGCTGAAGGCTGGTGGGCCAAATCAGATGACAGGGAAGGGATTTTCTACATATCCTGATACAGTCAGTCAGTCACTGGGCAGGGAAAGAACTGTCCGAGGCCAGCCAATGAACCCAGTGGAATTAATTCATCAACTGCTGAACAGTAAAGAGAGGGACATTTGTAATGTTAAAAACTGATTTTATGTCACAAACTTCGCAGCAAAGCTCTAAACAGCAGCCACAGGGAGGAGCTATTGAGTAGATGCCCAGCTGCACTGGAAAACGCATACATGCAAACAAACAATACACATTTGTACACACTCTTTTGGACCATGAAAGCCAATGGGTGCACCCAGTGACATCAGTGAATACTGTAGCACTTCTGAAACAAGAGCAGAGCTTCTAAGCCACTACTGTTCTTCCTCCATCTAAGACAGGCATTTTCATCTCTTATCATCTTCTCTCTCTTGTTCCTCAGTCCTTCTCTTTTCCACCCTCTGCCTGCCTCTGTCCTTCCCCCTCAGCCCATTCCTTTCCCACTGCCCTCCACTTTTTCTCCTTTCATCTTTTTTTCTTCCACCTCCTCTCTCATCTTTTGCCCTATGTCCTCAGTGCCAGCAGGATATTCCCCTGATTTAGATTTTCATTTCCCTCCTCTATCACACTCTTATCCCCTCTTCCTCGCTGTAGCCTCCAGTCCCTGACTCGCTTTTTGCCCTCGAGCTTTCATCACTCCATTCCTTTTCTTTCCTTGGCTTTCTCCATGTTGCGTTTTCACAGCGTGTTACCTTGGGGATTTCAAGGAAGCTTAAAAAGAAGCTAGCTGTGAGAGTGTGTCTGTATGTGTATGTTGTGTGCCATTTTGTGTTTGTGTGTGCTGGAGATGGACACAGAAAAGAAAAGCTTATTGACTGCTGCCTAATTATCAGCAATTAAATGGCTTTTCTAAAATGGTATCAAGCCTTTATACAAAGATAAAGCTGCACGCAAACACACAGAGCAACATGCACACACACACACATACATAGCATCCTGTGGGGCTGGAGATCAATATATCATTAATCTTTAACAGCGACTAAACGGGCAAAGCGTGGCCAGCCAGACCCTCACAGCGCCAACACAGAGAGGGGGCTACGCTACATCTACAGGCCCTCCTCCCGCTGAAGCGTGCACACACTCTGGGCACTGCAACATTGACCAAATTCTCAGGGAGTGTGTGTGTGTTTGTGTACACTTGTGTGTGTTAGTGTGTATTTTAAAAGGCAGATTACCCAAATGCAGCAAGAGGACGGGGGATTTGTCACGCAATGTCCTCCTTAGTGGAAAGTTTAGAACACATGTGTGTGTTTGTGTGGAAAAAGTGTATGATATGTATGGTATCTGTGTTTTGTGGGACCAAAATATATGCAGTCAAAGGGTTAAAAGTTGTGTTCAGCCAAACACTGACGATTTGCTCAGCCAAGCAGTAAACGGGGGAAGGACTCCAAGGACTGGGAGGGTGCAGGGTTAGAGAGGGTTTGTGTGTGCTTTAAAGCGTTGCATTAAAATTTCAGATCACAGCACGCCACATAGTCAAGGACCCTGACTGCCTGAGGCAGCATAAGTGCGTGAGTGAGCGAGCGCGCGCGTGTGTGTGTGTGTTTATGTGTGAACGTGAATGTGAACGTGGGTGGGCATGTGTTTATTAGGTTCTGTAAGCAAATGGGGCCTACTATATGTTTTCTTCTGACATAAAAAGAAAAGACAAGGATGGAAAAAGGAAGAAGGAAGTGTAAATAAATGAGATCAAAGAGTAGGATGGTACAATATAGTCATGGGGAAATATAAAGGTGGGGTCTGGCTCTGATAGACTATGAAACCTATTGATCAGCACCATTACACTGCATGTGATATCTTCCTGTGGCCTTTCCTTTTACACTCACAAATGCCCAATGCAGGAGATAAAATAAAGTGTAGGAGTGAGTGAGACAGAAGAAACAGGGAAAAAATATTGAGAGGATGAGAGAAGAGGGATTGATCTGTTTTTAACAGCCAATCAATTTAACAACTCTGTTAATGGACAGACAGTGAGTTTGAGGCATGGTAAATGGTGTGTGTGTGTGTGTGTGTGCGTGCACATGTATGGTGGCAGCGGTAGTGGTGGTGGTGATGGTGGGGGGCGGGGGAGGCTTAAAAGCAAAGTTGATATTCTGTTGCACTTCGGGTATAGGGTGCACGCAAGACGCCCTTGACCATCTTGGATTTAAAGAGAGAGTTTGTGTTTCAAGTAAAGCTCGATTTGTTTTTGCAGTACACCAGTTACCAATAAAACCCCATGAAAGGCTTTTATCTTTCTACTAAGATTTTTAAACCCTCTGATTCTGTTCAGAGCTTTTGTGGTTCTGTTCCGACTACTAACCCTGAGGGAATGAGGAGTGTGAATGTCATAAAGTGCCACTTCACAGTGTGGCGTCCTGACATGGAAAAGCTTCTGTTCTCATCCTCGCCACTACTAGAAGATCAATAATGATAGGTGCCCACAGCTCAGGTAACTGAATCTACCTTATCTTACAGGTCCTGTTAGAAGCCTGTGCGGCTTTAAGTCTCAGTGACCCTCAGTGACCTCCCCTCTCTGTCAAGACCCTGATGGATCAGAGAGTGCTTTTAACCTGTATCACAGGCACACAAATTCTCTATTTTGGTGCTTAGCCGTGGCTGCAGAATGCATTACAATCCCTGTCAGTATTTACAGTGTGTGGGTAATGCTGGGATTTGGAGGCTGCTGAGCGTTACAAGAGACAATCCAGCTGTTAGGGAGAGAAAGGGGAGTTTCCAGGCAAGGATATTCACTAAACAGGATGATTATGTCAAGAACAGGCTATGGAGGAGCCAGGGGTAGAAGTCACTCACAAACACACACACACACACACACACACACACACGCACACACAGATCAGCAAGACACATACTTTGCTGTGGATTCCTCGTCATACTTCGTCTTCAAATCAAAGAGCTCGGCCTGAGTTGTTTCAAGTGCTGTAAAAGACGGGAATACAGTCAGTTTCCTTGTTAGTCAAAATTCAAATGAAGAACTCTGAATGTTTGAGGTGTAACATCCAAGCAGGAGCAAAAACACTTTAAATCAACTTGTTATAATGAACCACACTCTTACATGAACAAACTTTTTTTTTTTTAAGTTGGAACAGTTCGGAAAGAACATGGGAAAACTACTGTATTCGTTTTCATTCCTGTGTTTTATCCACTGAATTGAAGTGATGGCTGTAGGGTTATTTGCTTATGCAGCCAGTCCAACGTCAAGCTGGTCAAACCACACTCACCTTAAGCAGCTGATATTTGAGCATTAAACTTGCTAAATAATCCTCTAGAATGTTTATTCAAAACTTAAGCAATGAATGAATGCTGAATGAGAAATACTTCAGATCTGAAACAAGGTTTTCAGAGGCTATCAAGCCAAGCCAGCACCACTTCATCTTCAGTGATAAGGCTGCCATTTTATCTGGCTGGTTCAAACTGTTTCCAGGTCTGTAAAGACGGAGTAGCCTGGTACCTGTCTGTAGGGACTGGGCCTTGTGTTCAGCCTCTTCCAACCTTGACGACATGGAGTCCTGGCTCTCCTGGAGCTTCCTACAGAGGTAGACAGAAGGCGAGGGAAAAAGAGAGCAGGGAGCAGAAAGTCACAGTTAAGAGATAGTGAGTCAGTAAATCTTGGGTTCACACTTTGTGGTGACTGCAACTATTCTCTATTTTCCCACCATTTCTGAAGTGTTTTCCCCACTAAAATCCTCCCAACACAACCCACTCCTCATTAAGCAGCCCTATTAGGCAGGAATGTCTGGCCACTGGGGCACACTGCGCCAAGGGGGGAGACAGAGGGGAGGGGAGAGAGAGAGCAGCAGAGAGTGCAAGGGGTGAATAAGAAAGGGGGGGGGGGGCAGAG